CTGAGCCACTGAGCCTGGCAAAACTATTGTTCTTAATCTTCACTTTTGGCTGGGCTCAGTGGCTCAGCCTGTAATCCATTTTGGGATTTTAAAGCATGTTGGGAGGCCGAGATGAGTGGATTGTCTGAGCCCGTGGGTTTGAGACCAGCCAGGGCAACTTGGCAAGACCTCGACTCTACAAAAATTAAAAATGAGCCAGGCACAGTAGCAGGCACCTCTATTTCCAGCTACTTGGAAAGTTGAGGAGGAAGGATTGCCAGAGCCCAGCAAGTTGGTGCTGGGGTGGTGGTGAGTGAGCCCCTGGCCTCCAGCCTGGGCGATGGAGTGAGACTCCAACTCAGAAAAACAAAACAAAAACTTCACTTTCCATAGCTTCTGGTAGCCACGCCTGAATTGTTTGGACATTTGTCTTTCTACGTTTCATCAGAAATCCAGTTGCACTTTTGATATTTCTTAATAACATCTAGCACAGTGTCCTGTCCACAGAAAGGACTTGATAAATAATTGTTGAACAGATAAATGAAGAAATGGGAAGATGAGTGAATCGGTAAGTGGTTTGCCTGAACATTAACCTACATCGAATTACTCAATTATAATTGTCAGAGCAGTTTCTCACTCTTTCCAGAATCAATTTGTGTTCTTTAGTCATCAGACTTCTTCTGAGTTCTAGAAGTCATCCCACAGTGTTTCTGAGCAAAATGATCATGGCTTATTGGTTGGATTTGACAGAAACATGACAGGTGGCAGGTCTGGCCCTCCTCTCCTCGGCAGAGACGGCCCGGCTGTGACTTCTAGAATGCTAGGCCGTGGACTCTTGCCCACCATCCTTCTAGAGCAGCGTCTTAGGCAACCGGGGCGATTTGTTTTTTCACACAGTTGTCCTCCACACATTCTTTTGCCTGGATTTACAATTCTAATTGTATCTGTTTGACTATTTAAGTAGTTTTCTTAGTGTTGTTGTTAGTTTCCTAGAGTCATGGGCTTCCTTTCTTTCATAGGTGGGCACGTGTCTGTTTCCTATTTTAATGCATCTTTGCTTTTTCTGGCATCCCTTCTAACCCTGTCTCAAGCTCCTTTTGTTTTCCCCCGTCCTCTCTAATGAACTGATTTTGCGTTTGCGCCCTTATCCCGTCTGGATCTTAGCCTCAGTGAGTGGCTGTGCTTTGCTGGTCCATTTTTATTATTGTTTTTATTAAGTAAAATGAAGAAAGAATCCCCTGAAGCCTCTCACATCTCTGAAAACCGCTTACTTAGCTGGGCTGGCGCTTGTTTGTTCCATCAGTCTCACCACAGCCCAAGTCCCCACCAGCTGCTTGAATTGGTTTTGTGCTGATGTGTTGGTTCTGTTATGTCTGTTGTGCCTCGTGGTCCCCAAGCCCTCCAGTCCGCTGGGACCACATGTTCCTTCATTATCCAAATAAGATACCTCTCCCCGCACCTCACGCCCCTGAGGGAGATAGCTGTGCAGCCACCCTGTTTCTGCAGGTGGCCGAGTCCCTTGATTTGCCTGCTAATTTCTTGCCTGTCCCCTCTTGCTCCAAACCCCAACCCCATTTCCAGTGACCCCAGCTTCCTGCCAGCCCCATCCGTGCCCCTCTCAGGTGTCCTTTTCCCCCCAATCACGAATCTCTCCCTGCTACCCCGAGGCACACCAGAAGCAACGGCACCCTGCCCAAGCCTGCTTTCTGATCATGGTCACTCTGGCGAGGACCCTCCCTGAGTGTCATGGATTTATCTTGCTTTCCTAGACAAAAGAGCAGTTCTCCCCGAGACTACGTGTGTGTCTCCCTCAGAATATGAGATGCTTACAGCCAGCAGGGGTTTTAAAAATGTCGTTTCTCCCTTCCTGATTCATTGCCTTTTGGGTATTTTATGAAGCTGAAATGCACCAGCAGAAGTCATGTGCCTTCTGAACAGTAGTGCGCTACACAAATAAAAGAAATGACTGCTGTCGTACATCAGAAAAACAGCGTATTTTATTTTCTTTGAAAAGAATGAGGACTGACCACACACGGTGGCTCAAGCCTATAATCCCAGGACTTTGGGAGGCCGAGATGAGGGGATTGCCTGAGCCCATGGGTTCGAGAACAGCCTGGGCAGCTTGGCAAGATCTCACTTCTGCACTAAATCAAAAAATTAGTCGGGCATGGTGGCATGTGCCTATCATCCGGCTACTTGGAAGGCTGAGGCAGAAGGATCACCTGAGCCCAGCAGGTCGACGCTGGGGTGGCCATGAACGTGCCACTGCCCTCCAGCCTGGGCCTCGGAGTGAGACTCCAACTCAAAAAAAAAAAAAAAATGAGGACTCAGCACACAGGATATTCAATTTTGGTTTTCCAACCAGATTCTTGTGTACGGAGAAAAATGCAGACACCTAGGGATTTTTATTTATGTAAGCAAGAGAAGAAGCCACGGCCTCGCGAGGGTAGGGACTGCAGGCACACGTCACAGTCTTGGCCCTGAGTCCTTCCGCGTTTCTGGATCCTCATGGGGATGTCTGAGGGGGAGGAAGGAGCCTGGAGCCACAGGAGCCATTGCTGAGCCCGGAGGAGCCCTGGAAAATCCTGGGATTGAGCCCTCTATGTGTTTCCAGCAAGTATACCGGGTGCATGCCCCCTTGCAGATTTGGTCCAGGTCTTGACTGCCACTTTGCCGACCACCAGGGCTCCCTTGCAGCCTTGGTCCAGCCTGCCCACGAGCCTGGGGGTCAGATCTGTGACGTGTGCCCTCCTGTGTTGTGTCCAGGGACAGGGCGCCTTGTCGGAGAGACTGCGGAGTTTCAGCATGCAGGACCTCACCACCATCCGGGGAGACGGCACCCCTGCTCCCGCAGGCCCACCCCCCGCGGGGCCTGGGCGAGCCAGCGGCAAGCACGGTCAGCCTAAGATGTCCAGGAGTGCTTCGGAGAGCGCTGGCAGCTCAGGTAGGTGTCTCTTAACGTCCTCCTTGCTTTCTGGCCCTTGGGCCTTGCTTTCACAGAGAGAGGCCCTGTCCACCATGTGGCATGCAACCTGGCTCTTGCCCCGTGGACCTGCGACCCACAGGGCTGTCTATCCAATCATACCAGACCAGCGAGGAGCAGAGCACCACTCATGCCAGGCCAGGAAGGTGGCCTGGCCACTCTGATCAGGGACAAGGTTAGATCACCTTCACTTGCCTCCTCCCTCTGATTACCTGGGAGTTGGGAGGAGTTGGGGACAGTGCCTGGGCCACACGCAACTGGGCCTGGACCACAGGTGCGTTCTCTGTTCTCCTCCTCCCTGAGACCACGCGGCTAGGGATTCTCACCTGTCTTGAGCACCTGAGTATCTCTCCCACCCACCCAGGGCCTATGGCTGCCATGAACCCTCTTCCCTGTCTGGATATCGGCTGTCCTTTCTCTTACTCTGCCATCTCCTTCTCATCCCTGTCCCTCCCAGTCACCTCGTACACCCCCAGGCCCCACATACCAAGGGCCACACTGGCTGTGGGGTCTAATTCCTGTGGAACCCGGAGCCTTACATTGACCGCACCTCTACCTCGGCATCTAACTCTGGTTATCAAACGCCCAGCATGAGGTTGCCAGTGGCAGGACTGACCTGGGGGCCTTGCTAAGCCTGCAGAGTCCTGGTCCACCCCCAGGAGCTTCAGGAGGTCTGGGGTGAGCTGCAGACTGTGAGGTTGTGAGGTGCAGCCATGTATGGGACCCCCAGCATTGGATCTGCAAGTGTAGGCTTCGGGCTCCTGGCGGGTAGGGGTATGGGCTGAGGACTAGGGAGCTGGCCAGGACTCGTAGCTTTCCAGACGGCTTCTTGGGGACATGAGAGGGGCCTTGGGTCTCAGGAGCCAAGCACGGCCGCTGCCAGGGCTGGCGGTGGGGGTGCAGGGGACAGTTCTGGATTGCCATTTCTGTCCTCCCTGTTAGGGGATGGATGGGAGGCCAGACAGTTTTTTGGAATCTGTGGCTGCGCCACGTGCCTGGTGGCTACCCTGCCCTTAAATACACAGGTGAGGACATCTGGCTACCTGCGACGTGCTGTGAGGTGTGGCCTGCAGGGGACACCTTGGCCAGAGCCTTTGTCTTGAGAGTCCCCTTGACTCATGAGGGTCTTAGACGTGATGGAAAAGCGTGAACCCTATTGCTGTCCAGGGAATAACAGTCCATCCGTTTCCTCCCCTCACAAAAATGTCCCCTTTCCTTCCCCAGGTTTGAAGACTGTGGTTTTTCTGTCAGGAGGTGTTCCTGTCACTGCTGGCATCAGGGCAGGGTTAGGGAGGTGGAGGCGTGGCCGTGAGGGGTGAGGAGGGAGTGATCTCAGGGAGGGACTATTTCCTGAGGGATCCCCCTTCCAGAACTCAGAATAAAATCCCAAAAGTCCAGGCTGGAAGGGGCCTCAGGGGTCATTTGGTCTAACCCTCTGGTTTTACCAGTGAAGGCACAAAGGTCCAGGGAGAAGGACTGGCCAGGCCACCCATGGGGGCTGTAGGAAAACTGTGTCCTTGGTCACTCGCTCTTCCAGGCTTCATAAAGCATCTGCAGTGTCTGACCCACTGGGACTGTCCCAGAAACAGGGGTACAAAACAGAATTGGGGATCACCCCCACCCCTGAGCAGCTCATTGGCTACCGAGCGTCACATGAAAGCTGTCACTTGGAAGAAGAAAAGACCCCCATCAGTGAAACCCTGGGACAGAGCAAGACCCGTGGGTGACGTTCTAAGGTTATACAGTCACTTCCTCTCTGTGTGACCTGGACAAGCTGTTTGCCCTCTCTGTGCCCCAAATTCCCTATCCACACAGGGAGTGGGGCCCACCTATAGAGTCGTTGTGAGGCCTCAAATGAAATAAGTCATGTGAAAGCGCTCAGGAAGGTTGCCTGGCACCAACATGTGACAGCTGCTGCTGCTGCTGTTCTCTCTGGAAAGCACTTTGTGACACGGCAAGGGTCTAGGAGAGAAATGGGCTGCCTGCCATGTGAGGTATGAGAGCCCTGATATTGGAAGGGCCCAACCCGAAGTCGGGTGGTCAGACTTGAGGGAGGGATTCCTGCTTTGGCTGGGAAGTGGGCCCAGGGAGCCCTCCCTTTGCCTCTGAGCGTCTGTGCAAGTCGAGGAGGCAGGCTCAGAAGGTCATGCACTGTGCCGAGGTCCCAGCACTGGAACGCAGGCCTCTTGCCTACACTGTGGATTCTTCAGGAGTCTCAGGACTGGCACATGGGGAGCTCGGCGGGGTCTGAACCGTGACGGGAGTGACTCTGGGCCTGAGCATCTTCTCAGCCCAGCACCAGGTAGAAGAAACTTGGGGAGGATTTGCTTTGACATCGTCCCTGCCGCCCTCCATCAGCAGAGAAATGTTACAGTTGGGCCGAGTGTGGTGGCTCAAGCCTATAATCCCAGCACTTTGGGAAGCCGAGGTGAGAGGATTGCCTGAGCCCGCAGGTTCGAGACAAGCCTGAATGGCATGGTGAGACCTTGTCTCTACAATAAAATTAAAAAAGAAAATTAGCCAGGCATGGTAGTGTAGGCCTGTAGTTCTGGCTGCCTGGAAGGCTGAGGCAAAAGGATCACCGGAGCCCAACAGGTCGACACTGGGGTGGCGGTGAGTGTGCCACTGCACTCTGGCTTGGGCAACAGAGTGAGACTCCAACTCAAAAAAAAAAAAAAAAAAAAAAATTACAGTGACATCCCCTGCCATGGCCCTGTGAGGCAGGGTGGAGAGTTCCAGCAGTCATGGGCTAAGAGAATTGGCTGTGCTACATAGTGACCTGGTCCTCCTCACTGCCTGTCCCCTTGGCCTTAGCACCTGCCAATTAGGGGGCAGAGAAGGGAGGTTCTGACCCAGCAGGGAGGCCAGGGACAGCACCGCATGCTTTCCAGCTGTTCTAGAACCTAAAATAAAAGCCAACTCAGGAACAAAGGTGAAAAGGGGTCCAGGGCCCGGTATGGGACAGAAGTGCTCCGGTGGTAGGCTGGGGGTGGTTGTACCCCTGAGGAAGGACCTGGCACCTGGGAGAAGTCTGGCCAAGGAAGCCCAGTCTTACAGGGCTGGCGTGCCCCTCCCAGCTCAGTCCCTTTCTCTCTTGGACACTTGCAGCTCCTGGTGTGGCCTTGAATGCAAGGCCTTGTCAGGTAAGCAAAGTTCCCCAGAGGAGGGGAGGAGACCAGGCTCCATCCTGCTGGGTGACGCTGGGCCTTTGCACACACAGCACATGGAACCCAGTGAGGCACACACAGCACATGGAACCCAGTGAGGCACACGGGTTCGTGCTGGGCCTAGATTGAGCCTCAGAACTTTTATCAGGATACCCCAGGTAGTCACTACCAGAGGATTTACCTGAGCACAGAAGACAGACCCAATTCCATTCAACTTTCTCTTTTGCAGAAGGGACCCAAAAAGCCCTCTTCAGCCTATATCTTAGGGTTGTAAGCAAACAAGATTATTTGCAAACCCTGGGCAGCGGTAAGAGTTAAAGACAACCTGGGAGGGGTGGTGGCTGCACTGTGGAGTTTTGTGCACCGCCGGAAGTAAAAGATTCGTGTACACAGCAATGTGGCCTGAAAGCATGACACCCAGATGCCTGGTGAAAAAAAATGCAAACAGAATGGAACTGTAATGATTTATGTAAGGTAGAAATATATGCTGGTCATGTAAAATACCAATAAGGAGTTGGCAAGAATACAGTTAAGCCAAAAGTTGCGCATTAAAATATCACTGTTGGGCTGGGCGCGGTGGCTCAAGCCTATAATCCCAGCACTTTGGGAGGCTGAGGTGAGAGGATTGCCGGAGTCCGCGGATTCAAGGCCAACCTGGGCAACATGGTGAAACCTCATCTCTACAATAAAATTAAAAAAGAAAATTAGACAGGCATGGTAGCGTACGCCTGTAGTTCTGGCTGCTTGGAAGGCTGAGGCAGAAGGATCGCCGGAGCCCAGCAGGTCGACGCAGGGGTGGCCGTGAGTGTGTCACTGCACTCCAGCCTGGGCGATGGAATGAGTCCAACTCAGAAAAAAAAAAAAAAAAAAAAGGCTTACGCCTATAATCCCAGCACTTTGAGGTGAGAGAATTGCCTGAACCCACGGGTTTGAGACCAGCCTGGGCAACTTGGCAAGACCTCATCTCTACAATAAATCAAGAAAAATTAGCTGGGTATGGTGGCACATGCCTATAGTTACACCTACTTGGAAGGCTGAGGCAGAAGGATCACCTGAGCCCAGCAGGTCGAGGTTGTGGTGGCCGTGAGCATGCCTGTGCACTCCAGCCTGGGCGACAGAGTGAGACTCCAACTAAAAAAAAAAAAAAAAAAATTACAGTTGATGTTCCTTCAGGAGAAAGAGAATGAGAGTGGTATATGGAGCTATAAGTCATGCAAATGTCCATCCAAAGTGAGAGAAAGGGGCTAGGTGTGGTGGCTTATGACTAATTCCAGCACTTTGGGACTCTGAGGTGGGAGGATTGCTTGAGCCCAGGAGTTCCAGACCAGCCGGGGCAATATAATGAGACCTCATCACGACAAAAAAATTACCTTGGCATGGCGGTGGCAACTGTAGTCCCAGCTACTCAGGAGGCTGAGGTGAAAGGATCACCTGAGCCCAGGAGGTTGAGACTACAGTGAACCATGATCGTGCCGCTGCACTCCAGCCTGGGTGACAGAGGAAGACCCTGATGACTTAAAAACAAAACAAAAACAATAGTGAGAAGGAGGGTCCCGTGAACCAGTGGAGACCATTTGCTGTGAACTGGGAAGGGAGGTTCACTCAACATTCTGCATCCCCAAGAAGGGAAGGAGGATACAGGAAAAGGAGGAAGGAGGTGCTTAACTATCTCTGCATGAGTACTTAGCTGTGTAAGCTCCTGGCGGGCACATGTGTGTTCTGTGCCTCCCTCTGTAACTGCCTCTACCCAGTGTGCCCGCCACATGCTAGGCACACAGAGGCCCCTACATGCGA